TCTATGTAAACTTAGAAACGAAAATAAGTATAATTTTATGTAAACCTAGAAACAAGAATAAGTTTCACCTTCAGAAAAACGTTAAGTATCACTTCTATGTAAAAGTAGAAACGAGAATTAGTTTTACTTTCAGATGAACTAGGTAGGTATCACTTACAGGTAAACGTAGACACGTGAATAAGGATCACCTTCAGGGAAACTTAGAAACGAGAATAAGTATTACAATCAAGTAAACTTAGAACAGTCATACATTGTACGTATTGCATTTAGGAACAATCGTAAGCATTACTATCAAATAAACTAAGAAACGGTCGTAAAGATTACTGTAAGGTAACCTTAGAAACGGTCGTAAATATTACTGTAAGGTAACCTTAGAAACGGTCGTAAAGATTACTGTAAGGTAACCTTAGAAACGATCGTAAAGATTACTGTAAGATAACCTTAGAAATAATCGTTTCAGTTTAAGGTAAAGCATTGCCGAATGGCTCGTCCAAGGCGTGTCACATACAACAAATATTTTCTATCTAAAGGATCTTTTTATCTATAAATAATTAGGTGTTTAATGTAACGACCACACCGACTGATTTCAAACTGGCTTATACTAAACCTTCTTGCACCGAACAGACACTCGTAGCAGATAATAATATGTTATATGTTCATGTAATATTTTCACTAAGTTGCAGTTTGTAAATACGCATGCACGTATGTGCAAAGTTTTGCCTAGTATGCAACGCGTCCCTTAATCGAACGATCAAATTAATCTGTTTTGTCAAATCTTTTTACAGGCAAAAAGCGTAAATCGTTCACACAGCCATTGTTTGAAACCAGTCTGTCTGGAAACATTACGACATTGTAATGCGTACGTAAAAACAGTGACAGCTCATATTGAATAAATCAAATGCTTATCACCATATCAGCGCGTGATAACTTTGACCAACAGTCCCTAATTAGGAAGCAAAGTTTTATCTTCATATAAGATAAAGACATATAATGTTTTCATTAACTATCTGGTAACAAGACAGTTACCACCACAACGTGAAAGCAATATGTAATGCTGACGTCTTAAACCTTATATAAAGTGTTTTTTTTTAATTACATGTGTACAAGACTGATAGCTTGTGTCATCAATTTTACAAATGATGCCGCGTTAATTGGAAACAATAAACGAAAGCGAAACTGAATGACCAAAAAGAAAATGTGTTTGATGTAAATCTGTTATCATTTTACTCTAGTTTCAGAGCTCTTAAACATTTCTGTATCATAAAAAAACAACTAAACTAACAAGTTCGGTTTCACATGATGTGCTGGAAACGCTAATCCTTCCGGAGCATCTGGTTCGCCGAGTTTTACATGTAGGGGGATCATATTATATGCTCTTCGGTGTGTATTTCTAAAACGTTTTATTTATATCGAAGAGCTTGCTGACTTCGTCTGTGTGCAATGACGATTTATAGAAAAGTTATCAATTTCGATAGTCATACTATCATTTGTATACGACGTTCACTGCTGTTTAATCACTCCTACCAGTATCGTCGTAATTCCCCTCTAAAATAAACTCATACATAATGAGTTTATGTTACCGACACAACCACACGGACATGTGTTGTTATTTTGTTCTCATTATTCAGTGCATTACTTGTCCAGGTTCTGCTGTCCTACTATCGTCACTACCATTCCTAGGGTCATTGCTGTTCGCTGTGAGTGCCGCGTCACACACCCCGATACTCACACCCATGTACATACTGATGGTGACGGGGCGGATCCTGTTAGCGTTTGGTGAAACGCCTCTCTGTTGTGAGTATACGAACTGCTATAACCATAAATAAAATAAAAATAATAAATCCATCATATGTAACGTAACACTACTTCAATTCATGTTTGTAGTCTGACTTACATGAGGTAAACGGTAACAAAAATCGGCGGCCTTCTACATATAAATGTTGAATAGAGACACACATGGTATTTATGTGTTCAAAATAATATAATTCATTTTTTTGTCCAGTCGTACAAGGCCGAGTTGTCGCTCACTGGTTCTCGGACGAGTCTCTCTTGCCTCTGTCCTTCATAATACTTAGTCAACGTGGAGGCTCGATGCTCACCTTTTTTCTCACGGCGACTATCGCTAATGATATTGGATTCGGAGTGGCCATATGGACCGGTAGGTTAAAATCCTTTTTTCCCGTTGCCATCACAGCTACGATCCATTTGTTTAAGAAATGTTGTTATCTATTTCTTTTGTATGTAAAAATAATTTTATGCAATTTCGACTTGAATATTCATTACCAAGAAATATATACATGCATAATACTGAACCTGTTTTCATATGTATTTTATGGCATTTCATGATTTGTAATATTATGTTACCAGGGACGTTCCTTTGTGGACTTGGTGTTTTATCAGCCTGTTGCCTTGCCATAGTTCTCAGGAAAGGTCAGATGGACCAGGCAACAAAGGACACGGATATCAGTCAGACTGTGAGTGGACTAAAAGTTTATTACCCTGCTGTCGCCGTAACCTGTTGTCTGTCATCCATTTATAGGTTGACTTCAAATATCAATCCCGTATGTACAAAGATACATGCATATCAATATATAAAATGAAATGGTTTGAATCTGTTTCACAATACATCACATATTAGCCTCGTTGCAAACTATAATTAGACAAAAGAAAAGTACTGCACTTGGCAAAGTGCTGTGTGAGGTTACAGTTAACATGACCTCATAAAGAGAATATAGACTTACTTCGAAGAAAACCTTATCCTTATAAATTACGGGCACTCCCCCTCCCCCTCCTGTCATAATTTTCAAAAGTGGGAGAAAACGAGGAATAAAAACGTCATTAAATTTGGTTGGACGGAGCACCAGATCAGAAACGGAACAAACGAAATGATTAAAAAGACGATGGTAGGTTTCTTTTTATCAGTGTAATATTTTGTCACTGAGCCTTTCTTACATTTTGATCTAATACGTCGTATATACTAAATGACCACAGGAGGCCAGGCAGAAAGATGTTTTCTAAAATTCTATAGCCTGATTTTTGTTCTGTATGCAATAGAAAACACATTGACCACATTATATTTTATAAAATGAATTAGATCATCCATGATGCGCTACATTATTTCCATTCTGCTTACAGACGCTTGCCGATATAAAGGCCGTCCCCAGAAAGTTTTGGATACATGTATGCATGGTAGCTTTGTTATATGGCCAGATAATCAGCTTTCATGCGAACTTACCGTAAGTATTCTGATTCGTGGATATGTAACCTAAAAAGTTGTAATCTAGTTTTCGAAATATCTGAAAATATTTTATGGTGAAGTACATGTAAGTTCTGAATTTCACGAACTTATTTGCAGACAATACTATATTTAAAATTATTTAAGACCGGATGCATGCATTTTGATCATTTACAACCTTGTTTGAGCATTTTTGACCAAGGAACTTAGAAACACGCTTTTTTCAGTAAGACTTATTTCTTATTCCTCCTGAATTGGACTTTTATAATTTGTGTTGTCCAGTTAAGTCAGATGAAAAATTACGGTTTACAATGAATGCAAAGTTTACAAGGCTGTTTATGTTTTCAAGAAAATTCAGAGAGGAGGAATTAGCGTGAACATTATATAAAATAATTTATAGCAAAATAACAAAACATACGCTGCAGACGTAATTTGTCTTTAATTTCACCACCAAATTGTTAAGCTCTTCATTTCCTGACTTCTGTCAATGAACTGTTATCGGGTTGAACATTTTGTTATTTGAATATTCCTTGTTTCTTCAAGACTGTCATTTATATTTCAACCCATTGGATGAATATCGTTAACATTTTTCTCTGAATGTCAACTCTGAACAAAAAACCAAAGTATTCTCCTCATTCGATGAAAAAAATACATGTACAATCCTCAGGAAAAAAATATATGCTCAGAATAATTATACATGCTAAGCTTGTATGTTGGAGAAGTCATTGTTATCGTTACAGAAAGTATTTGTTATCGTTACAGAGAGTATTTGTTATCGTTACAGAGAGTATTTGTTATCGTTACAGAGAGTATTTGTTATCGTTACAGAGAGTGTTTGTTATCGTTACAGAGAGTATTTGTTATCGTTACAGACAGTATTTGTTATCGTTACAGAGAGTATCTGTTATCGTTACAGTGATTATTTGTTATCGTTACAGAGTATTTGTTATCGTTACAGATAGTATTTGTTATCGTTACAGAGAGTATTTGTTATCGTTACAGAGAGTATTTGTTATCGTTACAGAGAGTATTTGTTATCGTTACAGAGAGTATTTGTTATCGTTACAGAGAGTATTTGTTATCGTTACAGAGAGTATTTGTTATCGTTACAGAGAGTATTTGTTATCGTTACAGAGAGTATTTGTTATCGTTACAGAGAGTATTTGTTATCGTTACAGAGAGTATTTGTTATCGTTACAGAGAGTATTTGTTATCGTTACAGAGAGTATTTGTTATCGTTACAGAGAGTATTTGTTATCGTTACAGAGAGTATTTGTTATCGTTACAGAGAGTATTTGTTATCGTTACAGAGAGTATTTGTTATCGTTACAGAGAGTATTTGTTATCGTTACAGAGAGTATTTGTTATCGTTACAGAGAGTATTTGTTATCGTTACAGAGAGTATTTGTTATCGTTACAGAGAGTATTTGTTATCGTTACAGAGAGTATTTGTTATCGTTACAGAGAGTATTTGTTATCGTTACAGAGAGTATTTGTTATCGTTACAGAGAGTATTTGTTATCGTTACAGAGAGTATTTGTTATCGTTACAGAGAGTATTTGTTATCGTTACAGAGAGTATTTGTTATCGTTACAGAGAGTATTTGTTATCGTTACAGAGAGTATTTGTTATCGTTACAGAGAGTATTTGTTATCGTTACAGAGAGTATTTGTTATCGTTACAGAGAGTATTTGTTATCGTTACAGAGAGTATTTGTTATCGTTACAGAGAGTATTTGTTATCGTTACAGAGAGTATTTGTTATCGTTACAGAGAGTATTTGTTATCGTTACAGAGAGTATTTGTTATCGTTACAGAGAGTATTTGTTATCGTTACAGAGAGTATTTGTTATCGTTACAGAGAGTATTTGTTATCGTTACAGAGAGTATTTGTTATCGTTACAGAGAGTATTTGTTATCGTTACAGAGAGTATTTGTTATCGTTACAGAGAGTATTTGTTATCGTTACAGAGAGTATTTGTTATCGTTACAGAGAGTATTTGTTATCGTTACAGAGAGTATTTGTTATCGTTACAGAGAGTATTTGTTATCGTTACAGAGAGTATTTGTTATCGTTACAGAGAGTATTTGTTATCGTTACAGAGAGTATTTGTTATCGTTACAGAGAGTATTTGTTATCGTTACAGAGAGTATTTGTTATCGTTACAGAGAGTATTTGTTATCGTTACAGAGAGTATTTGTTATCGTTACAGAGAGTATTTGTTATCGTTACAGAGAGTATTTGTTATCGTTACAGAGAGTATTTGTTATCGTTACAGAGAGTATTTGTTATCGTTACAGAGAGTATTTGTTATCGTTACAGAGAGTATTTGTTATCGTTACAGAGAGTATTTGTTATCGTTACAGAGAGTATTTGTTATCGTTACAGAGAGTATTTGTTATCGTTACAGAGAGTATTTGTTATCGTTACAGAGAGTATTTGTTATCGTTACAGAGAGTATTTGTTATCGTTACAGAGAGTATTTGTTATCGTTACAGAGAGTATTTGTTATCGTTACAGAGAGTATTTGTTATCGTTACAGAGAGTATTTGTTATCGTTACAGAGAGTATTTGTTATCGTTACAGAGAGTATTTGTTATCGTTACAGAGAGTATTTGTTATCGTTACAGAGAGTATTTGTTATCGTTACAGAGAGTATTTGTTATCGTTACAGAGAGTATTTGTTATCGTTACAGAGAGTATTTGTTATCGTTACAGAGAGTATTTGTTATCGTTACAGAGAGTATTTGTTATCGTTACAGAGAGTATTTGTTATCGTTACAGAGAGTATTTGTTATCGTTACAGAGAGTATTTGTTATCGTTACAGAGAGTATTTGTTATCGTTACAGAGAGTATTTGTTATCGTTACAGAGAGTATTTGTTATCGTTACAGAGAGTATTTGTTATCGTTACAGAGAGTATTTGTTATCGTTACAGAGAGTATTTGTTATCGTTACAGAGAGTATTTGTTATCGTTACAGAGAGTATTTGTTATCGTTACAGAGAGTATTTGTTATCGTTACAGAGAGTATTTGTTATCGTTACAGAGAGTATTTGTTATCGTTACAGAGAGTATTTGTTATCGTTACAGAGAGTATTTGTTATCGTTACAGAGAGTATTTGTTATCGTTACAGAGAGTATTTGTTATCGTTACAGAGAGTATTTGTTATCGTTACAGAGAGTATTTGTTATCGTTACAGAGAGTATTTGTTATCGTTACAGAGAGTATTTGTTATCGTTACAGAGAGTATTTGTTATCGTTACAGAGAGTATTTGTTATCGTTACAGAGAGTATTTGTTATCGTTACAGAGAGTATTTGTTATCGTTACAGAGAGTATTTGTTATCGTTACAGAGAGTATTTGTTATCGTTACAGAGAGTATTTGTTATCGTTACAGAGAGTATTTGTTATCGTTACAGAGAGTATTTGTTATCGTTACAGAGAGTATTTGTTATCGTTACAGAGAGTATTTGTTATCGTTACAGAGAGTATTTGTTATCGTTACAGAGAGTATTTGTTATCGTTACAGAGAGTATTTGTTATCGTTACAGAGAGTATTTGTTATCGTTACAGAGAGTATTTGTTATCGTTACAGAGAGTATTTGTTATCGTTACAGAGAGTATTTGTTATCGTTACAGAGAGTATTTGTTATCGTTACAGAGAGTATTTGTTATCGTTACAGAGAGTATTTGTTATCGTTACAGAGAGTATTTGTTATCGTTACAGAGAGTATTTGTTATCGTTACAGAGAGTATTTGTTATCGTTACAGAGAGTATTTGTTATCGTTACAGAGAGTATTTGTTATCGTTACAGAGAGTATTTGTTATCGTTACAGAGAGTATTTGTTATCGTTACAGAGAGTATTTGTTATCGTTACAGAGAGTATTTGTTATCGTTACAGAGAGTATTTGTTATCGTTACAGAGAGTATTTGTTATCGTTACAGAGAGTATTTGTTATCGTTACAGAGAGTATTTGTTATCGTTACAGAGAGTATTTGTTATCGTTACAGAGAGTATTTGTTATCGTTACAGAGAGTATTTGTTATCGTTACAGAGAGTATTTGTTATCGTTACAGAGAGTATTTGTTATCGTTACAGAGAGTATTTGTTATCGTTACAGAGAGTATTTGTTATCGTTACAGAGAGTATTTGTTATCGTTACAGAGAGTATTTGTTATCGTTACAGAGAGTATTTGTTATCGTTACAGAGAGTATTTGTTATCGTTACAGAGAGTATTTGTTATCGTTACAGAGAGTATTTGTTATCGTTACAGAGAGTATTTGTTATCGTTACAGAGAGTATTTGTTATCGTTACAGAGAGTATTTGTTATCGTTACAGAGAGTATTTGTTATCGTTACAGAGAGTATTTGTTATCGTTACAGAGAGTATTTGTTATCGTTACAGAGAGTATTTGGTGATAGAATACGGATTCTCTGCGACTTCTTCTTCATACATCACTGGCTCGGCTGTATTACCCTTCATCGTGGGTCCTCTCATAGCTCTCGCTTTGGTACGTCGCGAATTTATCTGATCGTTACAATTACTGCTATCAGTATTTTTTTAAACTTTGTTTAAACTGAAAAGCTGGTGCTTTCCTTCAATAGACGACAGAAACATGATTGGTAATGAAAGAACTTCATTTTATCATAATATCATAAAACAACACGTCACGTTATCTGCAATGCTTATCATGAGAAAATCGCAATGTTTATTGTGTTTTTTATCAACTTTGTTTATTGTATTTACAGGTACTGTATATAATGTAAACTACAATCTCCATAAAAGCTAATTTTAAGATGCGGATTGGTTGATATGTTGATAATTGTAACAACCATGGTATAAATAAGTAAATAATATAACTATATTTGATATTTTCAGAATAAGATCGACTGTATCGGCGTATTGATGACCTGTGCAGCAGCGACCATGATACCTGTTTTTTCTTTGTTAGGGTTTAGTCCATCCGTTCATCCACTCATTCTCACCATAACGTTGGGAATTGCTAATATTGTTACTGAAGTAAGTCTGATTTTACTTTTGATTTGATTTTTTTTTTTTTTTCTAAAGTGGTATTTTTTTAGTATTTGTTTTCTTTTCTATAAGACCACTCAATCAATTATTCCTTTTTCAGCTCGGTATGTGGCAAGTAGCGGTATTATTGTTGCCTCGTGCGCGCTTTGGAACTGTAACCGGCATAATGTACCTCGTACGGAACACTGTTATAGGACTTTCACTGCTATTAGACGGGTATTTACTACAGAAACAAGATAAGTATGTTTGTTTATATTTAATGCCTACAAGTAGTATATATGTTAACCTTATTGAGGATTTATGAAAAACATATATAATCCAAAGTAATGTCCGTCCACCTATCGCTTTTACACATTAAGTCAATGCTTCCCCATGGACAAATCTACACTATATTGTTACATTGTGACGTAAAATGTATGTATGTTCTCCACATAAATGTACTTACAGACAGGGAATCAGCCGTCCACTGAGAGGGTACCGTGATTTCTTCCTGGCACTTGTTATCATGACGTCATTGTCTGTCCTCTGTGGTATACTGCTGAATGTGGTGGATATTACGGACGTAAGTATTTAAAACGAAGATTATTCTTCATTATACAAGAGAAAATGAAATCTCCTGATTGGTCACCATTATACACTATATGCATGATGATGTCCTTTGACCAGCATGTAGCTGCGGTTGATATTATTACTCTGTCGATCACTTTCTAGCTGAGCTTGACACAAAATGTTTTTATTCACTAGGATTTTTTTATACCGTTGTTCTATAAACTAATCAAATTAAAACTAAAGATCCCATCCTATCGCAATTTTCTACTTGAAATACTACTTCAATCAATAATACGAAGTTCCAATTTGAGATCTTTTCAATAACAATGTGATTTAGTTAACCAGACTTTTTATAGTGTTTATGAAGTGTCCTGTCAATTGCTACGTTTTTTTTTACTTGCTTTCTTCTAAATTGTTAAGTCAGTGAAATTGCCCTTGACAACACAATAAATAATATCAATTGTATTTGGAAAATCGAAATCAAATTTAAACGAAATTTTGTTGATATCTTTCGGATGAACCTACGGTTAGGAAAAAACAATTTGATTAATATTTCGTCGTCATTCCCAAAACCTATGCAGCTACGGTGGTGAATAGTGTTGCACAGTATATACATTAATTAGAATGAAGTGTAGCACTGTGTAAGCGCGATGGAGTGAAGTATAATATACAAAGTTAATGGGATAGAGTGTAGCANTGACAACACAATAAATAATATCAATTGTATTTGGAAAATCGAAATCGAATTTAAACGAAATTTTGTTGATATCTTTCGGATGAACCTACGGTAAGGGAAAAACAATATGATTGATATTTCGTCGTCATTCCCAAAACCTATACAGCTACGGTTGTAAATAGTGCTGCACAGTATATACATTAATTGGAATGAAGTGTAGCACTATGTAGAAAGTAAGTGCGATGGAGTGAAGAACAATATACAAAGTTAATGGGATAGAGTGTAGCACAATATACAAAGTTAATGGGATAGAGTGTAGCACAATATACAAAGTTAATGGGATAGAGTGTAGCACACTATACAAAGTTAATGGGATAGAGTGTAGCACAATATACAAAGTTAATGGGATAGAGTGTAGCACAATATACAAAGTTGATGGGATAGAGTGTAGCCCAATATAAAAAGTTAATGGGATAGAGTGTAGCACAATATACAAAGATGATGGGATAGAGTGTAGCCCAATATACAAAGTTAATGGGATTGAGTATAGCCTAATATACAAAGTTAATGGGATAGAGTGTAGCACAATATACAAAGTTAATGGGATAGAGTGTAGCCTAACATACAAAGTTGATGGGATATAGTGTAGCCCAATATACAGGTTAATGGGATAGAGTGTAGCATAATATACAAAGTTACTGGGATAGAGTGTAGAACAATATACAAAGATGATGGGATATAGTGTAGCCCAATATACAGGTTAATGGGATAGAGTGTAGCCTAACATACAAAGTTGATGGGATATAGTGTAGCCCAATATACAGAGTTAATGGGATAGAGTGTAGCACAGTATACAAAGTTAATGGGATAGAGTGTAGCACACTATACAAAGTTAATGGGATAGAGTGTATCACAATATACAAAGTTAATGGGATAGAGTGTAGCACAATATACAAAGTTAATGGGATAGAGTGTAGCACAATATACAAAGTTAATGGGATAGAGTGTAGCCTAATATACAAAGTTAATGGGATAGAGTGTAGCACACTATACAAAGTTAATGGGATAGAGTGTAGCATAATATACAAAGTTACTGGGATAGAGTGTAGAACAATATACAAAGTTAATGGGATAGAGTGTAGCCCAATATACAAAGTTAATGGGATAGAGTGTAGCACAATATACAAAGTTAATGGGATAGAGTGTAGCACACTATACAAAGTTAATGGGATAGAGTGTAGCACACTTTACAAAGTTAATGGGATAGAGTGTAGCACAATATACAAAGTTAATGGGATAGAGTGTAGCCCAATATACAAAGTTAATGGGATAGAGCTTAGCACAATATACAAAGTTGATGGGATAGAATTTAGCCCAATATACAAAGTTAATGGGATAGAGTGTAGCCTAATATACAAAGTTGATAGGATAGAGTGTAGCCCAATATACAAAGTTAATGGGATAGAGTTTAGCAATGCAAACAAAGTAGGTTGGATGGAGTGTAGCACAGTATACATATCAAGTTGACGAAATTGAAGCAGAGTATACTAATTAGGTAGGATAGAGAGTAGCAAATAATCCAAAGTAAGTGGAATAAAGTGAACTACTGTTAACAAAGAAAGTTGGATATAGTGAAGCAGAGTATACATATTAGAAGGGACAAACACATATTTAGCGGGATTATCTGTATTAATGAAAAACGGGAACTGGAGAGTAGTATATACATTAGATGGGATATACCATAGGTTACAAACTAAATGGGATTAACTGTAGCTACAAATTCAGTTGACCGTACTAACAAATAACATATTTGTTTTATAGACAGTACTATACAAATTAAGTAGGATTGTAATATAAAATGCAAGTGGAACTGACAGTAGTTACAAAGAAGCGGAATAAACTGTTGCTACAAATTCCTTGGACCTTAGGTACATATCAATTCAGATAGACAGTAGAATACACATTGAGTGGGGCAGGCAAAAGTAAACAAATACAACAGGATTAATTGTAGCTACAAATTAAGTGGGATAAACTTGAGTTATAAACTAAGCTGAATAGACAGCAGTATATATTTAAGTGGGATAGACAATAGTTAACTAATATAGCGGGACAGACAGTAATAATCAATAAAGCGGAAAAGACTTTGGTTAAGTGTGATAGACTTTAATTGTACAAGTTGACACATTATTTGTTAAGGAAGTAAGTTACACATTAAGTGGTATTGATTGTAGTTACAAATAATGGATGCTAGACTAGAACATACAAATAAAATCGAATATATAACAGTTCTTGTTGATACCAATTACTTTTGCATAGGTTTCATAATACCTATGCCTTATGAATGAAACAATGCGATGCAATATTATTGTTGTATATGTCATATTTTGTAATTTTCATATTATGCATTTTTTAACTTATACAGACATGTGCAATAAACCAGCGTATAGGGAGATGGAAAAGCAGTACTGACGAAAATATCAGGTTATTACATACGGGCACCAGTACGGACATATCGGATAAGAACTCTCCTGTTGTTGGTAGTACGGACACAGACGATGCACAATCTGAACGGTCGACAGAACAAAGAGAATAAACAAAAAATCTCCAAGCTTTGATATCGGTGCAATTCTAAGTTTTACGATGAAAATAGCCTTGTAGTTAAGTTATTTTGACGGCGCAATATGTTCCAAGACATTGGTTTTATTCCCGGTCTGTCATTTAAAATGATACTATAACATGGTATTGGTGACAATTATGATGCTTAATACTTGTTTGCCTGGTTTCGAATTGTAACTTCCTAATGCACGAACAGGTAATCAGAACTTTTATAAAAAGATCTTTTTCAGTGTTTACATAATTCTGAAGGTTATCGTATCCAGCAACTAAGTGAACAAACTTCGTGTAACACTTTCCGATACACAGTACCGATTTCAGGAAAGATATGTGCTGGAGCACTTGTTCGAGTTAGAAATAAATTAAAAAAAAAAAAATACATTGAACTTGTCTGTTTTTTTATCGATGTCATATGGATTCTCAACTATTTTATACTTGCGTTGTATATATTTCTATACAAGCTTTGAGTACTTAAATTATTCTGCCAATACACGAGACACAAGCATTACTGATAATGTAGTAATGTATTAACACGCCATTGTTTTATTTCATCTGACGCAATCTGATCTGATAAAAACAGACATACAAGTTAATATTTCATTATATTTACAAATTCTGCATTGAAAGGTAGAGGACGTGATGTTGTTTCATTACATGAGATATACATTAATTTAGAGACGGAGCTAAAGAAGTTATCATGTTATAACATGTGACACAATTTGTAGCGAAAGACATATATAAAGATGTTAGTAATTATATTACATGTGATGCAATCTGAAGTGATAGACATTTATAAAGACGTTATCATAATAAAACATGTGATATAATCTGACATGAGACAGTATCATTTTTTTTACATGTGATACAATATATTGCGGTAGACAGGAATACACAATCTATATTGTTAAATAAAGACCATAAAACATATTATTGTGTTTCCTGTAACATAATTTGTATTGGTGGTCAGAGTTGTATTTTATATGACACAATGTACATCGATAGACAGACATACAAACTATTACATGTGACACAGTCTGTAATGATAGACAAAGTTAATACATTATTTTTCATACATTACACGTTTAACAATCTCTATTGAAAGTATTAACGTTTGACGGATTTTGCTACTAGAAGCTAGCAAACCATTATTTGGCTTCAAAAATTACTTTCCGTTTACGATGTATGCTTTACGCTAGCAAAGCAAAGTAAGGCTCACTAAGTGAAAATGTTGTCTACCAAAAATCGAAAAGAGGAACGAGATCAACAATCAAATTGCTGAATCACTCAACAATAAGACCATTGCCCGATCCCTGGCCTAGTTCAATATTAGCATCATATCATATCGTACTTCTCTTTCTCACCGCCTTAAATCAAACACAAATCGTAGCGGCCAGAGGCTCTGAGTGATAATGACGTAAAACACGACCCATTCCAAATAATCAAGTAGTTTAAATGTGCCTTTTAAATCTACTCCAAATATATGATATATGCTGTTAAATGTTGAACCCATGTTGCACTACAAAACCACATGAAAGGCCATACCAAAACGCACTGTTAAAACATTCTGCGGTCCGTGTAAGCTGCAAAGTATTTTCTTAACTATCTGTGCTGGATTATATGATTGATTTCCTCCTCGCTGATTCTAATGTATATTCTATTATACCGTGAGCGTATTAAACATGTAGTTATTCTCGTTATAGACATGTGGAAAAGTCTTCTTTCTCTTTCATGTGTGTGTCTTGCGTTCATCATTTAAAAGAAACAACTGATCAACACACACGTGATCGCACCTAAAATGGTAATAGTAACCGTATGCCAAACATGAATTACACTGGACTATATACAGCTGTATAGGACTCGTTAGTGATGCAAGGGAATGAAAGGATGGAAATCGATATTGACTTAAACTACTTTAGAAGCAGAAGAGGAGGTGTGTTAAACCTCATAATTACACGTTTACAGGGTGTACATCATGAGTTAATACTCACCTGGAAAACTTGGATAAGATGTTTATTGATGCATTTTCATTTTATTTGAAAAATTCGATATTCAAAACGAATTTAGGAAAGAATCAACATGAATACGTGTGTATAAAGATGTATGAACCTTTTAAAATTATGTGCGGATAGTACGAGTTTTTAGTGCTGACTGTTTCTCCTTGAGTACAGGTAGAATACGAATTCATGCATCTATTTATTTCATATATGTAGCACTGCTTTGCTTACATACTTTTATTGATTCAATAGGTCGATAAAGTCTTGCGGAAGTAAATGATTCAAAATTAATTACCAAACATGTGTTACAACTAACAAATGCATAACTATATCAAAGGTATATACAGGAATGAAAATTAAACGCGATTTCAATTTTAAAGGTAAATAATATAGCAAATTCGAACAAAAATTATGGCTCAATTTAAGCTGCTATCATTCCCTTTAAATATTGATTTTACCGACTAATTTCATGAGACTGGCATGAAATAAAGTACACTTAGTTATAGCGATTCCCAACTCCCCTGTCTAGGTCATATATAACAAGTGTTATATTAGGGATAAATCTGGAGTGCGAGGAGGCGAATTCACACGGACGATGCCATGTGTTGCCAGAAAGTCCAAACTATATCCGATCCAATCAATAATGAAGAAATCCTACAAAGTTTGTCCGTTCTCTCTCGATATCTATCACGATATTCCCAGGAAAGCCGTTAACTCCATAATAAGGGGAAGCAGGGACATTCCTATCAAATCAGAATCGTCCGATGTATTATACATCATACTAGTTAGTCGTCCCTGTTTGGTGTAAGTAAGTGTCAAGGTTAGTGATTGATGCAAAAGATTCCGTGGTGTCCTAGATTTTTAAGTTCAGAATAATACAGATGATCAAAGTTGCAATAGAACTTGATTGAAAATAAGCCGTAAAACAACACGTATCTATATGAGAGAATGTTTGGAGTTCAGTGCAAGAAATGAACTTTAATGGTAGGAAAGTGTATGAGAGAGAGATTTTTAAGTGTACAGTATAAGGCATTTCAGTTATTAGTAGAACTGGATGAGTGGGATAACTTAAAGTGTTCAGTGTGAAGAAGTTACGTTAATGGTAGAAATGTAAGATTAAGTGAGAGAAAGAAAACAGTCAATGTAAAGAGGTTACTTTAATGATAAGAATGTGTGAGTAAGTGAGAAAATGTTAAGTGTTTAATGTGAAGATGTTACGTTAATGATAGGAATGTGTGAGTTAGTGAGAAAATGTTAAGTTTTCATTGTAAAGAGGTAACTTTAATGATAAGAATGTGTGAGTTAGTGAGAAAATGTTAAGTGTTTAATGTGAAGATGTCACTTTAATGATAAGAATGTGTGAGTTAGTGAGAAAATGTTAAGTGTTTAATGTGAAGATGTCACTTTAATGATAAGAATGTGTGAGTTAGTGAGAAAATGTTAAGTGTTTAATGTGAAGATGTCACTTTAATGATAAGAATGTGTGAGTTAGTGAGAAAATGTTAAGTGTTTAATGTGAAGATGTCACTTTAATGATAAGAATGTGTGAGTTAGTGAGAAAATGTTAAGTGTTTAATGTGAAGATGTCACTTTAATGATAAGAATGTGTGAGTTAGTGAGAAAATGTTAAGTGTTTAATGTGAAGATGTTACTTTAATGCTAGAAATGTGTGAGTTAGTGAGAAAATGTTAAGTGTTTAATGTGAAGATGTTACTTTAACGATAGCAATGTGTGAGTTAGTGAGAAAATGTAAGTGTTTAATGTGAAGATGTTTCTTTAATGATAGAAATGTGTGAGTTAGTGAGAAAATGTTAGTGTTTAATGTGAAGATGTTTCTTTAATGATAGAAATGGTTGAGTTAGTGAGAAATTGTTAGTGTTTAATGTGAAGATGTTACTTTAATGATAAAAATGTGTGAGTTAGTGAGAAAATATTGTCAAGTTTATATTGTAAAGATGTTACATTAATGATAGGAATGTGTAAATAAGTGCTAAAAAGTTATATGTTTATTGTAAAGAGGTTACTTTAATGATAGGAATGTGTGAGTTGGTGAGAAAATGTTGTTAAGTGTTTTATGTTAAGAGGTTACTTTATTGGTAAATGATGTAGAATGTGAGGTAATGATTAGTGAGAAGAGGTCCAATGTAACTTAAAGTATTAGAATGTGTGTGCAAATGACAGAATGTTAATGTTGCGATACTTAAACAATCATATTTTAAATTTATTTCAACATTATCGTATTACAAAGTCCAATGTATCCATGGGTCGCCCGTGACTCAATATCCTGCTTCTTTTTTGTCAGTGAAACAGAATCGCAAAGAGGTGAATTTGTATGACAGCTACCAAAAGATAGTATCATACTGTATCTATTTCATTCATTAATAGCATCAATGCTGGTTGTTATAACACGATGTTTCATAAATGAAAATATTCATTAAATGTAATGTTGAAAAAATCAAACAGACCTTTCAACGCATGTTATATCATGCATGATTTACAAAAATTAATAATTTTACAACTTCTCAATATAAATGTATTAATAATCCTAGTAAAATATGTAACCCGTTCAATCTTGTTTTAATATTCATATTTCTTATCCTCATGCAATATTCCACACAAATCACCTTTAGTGTACCATGTTTACCTCAGATGCTACTATTCGTAAATTTCCTTTCGTATTAACTTACACAAATAAAAGCTGTCATGCTTGGTTTCCTTTGTTATTCTTTATGTGAAAAATAAAGAAATTTTGTTTATGATACTGTAGGTAGATTAAAGGTACTATACTTTTTTCCTGTCGAGCGTGTAATGTTTCACAGTATTTTTCGAATAAATTAACATAGTTAATCAAACACTGGAACACTATCAATATAAGGGCGTCCTGCTGGGTATGAAGTTAGCACTGTGTGTGGAGGTATAGCATATACTGACGGATGTGGATTGGTACATGTATCAAAATTATGACTTGAGAATATCTGTGTTCACGCAAATTAACCTTATTACTTTGCCTATTGTACATTTCATATTAATATGTCAAAACATATTCAAAGTCCTTGAGTGATCAAAATACAATAGATGGAAATTTAGAATATTCTATGATAATATATTTCTCCTCGGGATTTAACAAAAATAAAAGTAAAATGATAAATATAGATGATATTTCAATCAATCTTCTATTGAATTAACCGTTTAAATGTTTCATATAAACACAAATGAACCTTGCATCCTTGTTTTTTTAATAATTGTTAACAAAAACAAAAATATACGTGAGTGTCAAGAAAACTGAATTTCGAACTAAAAATGAACAAAGGCGAGACATTTACACGGGACCTCTTTCGAAAGGACAAACAGAATAAGAACAGGTTCTCTAGAAAGGGAGAC